TAACATTTGTGCCTCCAGTGAAACTGTTTTAAAGTCTAAAGATAAACACGGTTGACTCTGAGTACGCTGGCTTGCATGCAGTCACTGAACCTCCCACAGATCTAACATGACAAAAAGTGTGTAATGGCTGAGGGAGAACAATGGCGTAAGAGGGGAAGGAGTGTGGAGGAGTGTTGTTTCCAGGCATCACACTCATATGTATAAGACTTTTGAAGAGTCGGGGAGGGTTGGTGAAGCTGTCAGCAAGACTGAAAAACAAAGAAATTCTCAACAGATCAGCAAAAGAACTGGATGAAGAGCGACTCACTCAGTATTTCTGTGTCACGACTTTTAAGTGATATAAACACTGGGACAGACTATAAGATTGAATTTACTCAATTGCCTTCTGCAAATTATGGCATTACCTGTCAAAACAGCTCACTAACGATGAAAACCATTAATAATTAGTTGATTAACAAAGTGTTATCCAATTAATTTTTTGTGAATCATCTAATCTGACACAGTTTTTTTTATGTGACAAACATCAAATCTTTACACCAAGCACAGAAAAAACTGTTCATTGTTAGTTTAGGTTTATTTAATGAGAATGCATCTATCAGTCTATACACAAGGTAAACTGACCATTTATTACTGTGACTGTTCACAAGTTTAATGGCTTCTGAATAAAACCAAACATCCTTCTATTTGTTTTAAACACAGGCAATATAAACCACATTCCTGATGGCAACAGCAAATGTGGACAATCTTTTTTTGGTTTTGACTCTAAAATGAACTGCTGCATCCAGGGACAATACAAAAGTTACTGTCTTTGTCCTTATTTTCCACATGCTACACTAGGACAAGATGCCACTAACCTTTTTTATCCAGTTTCACTGACAGTTTAACCTTTAAAAATGATTAAAGTGGGAATCCATTTAGTACATTATGCTGACTACATTTGGTTGTGTGTGTGTGTGTGTGTGTGGTCGTTAAAGAGAAAAACGAAGTAAAGCCTCAAATGAAGTTGGAATCATAAAGCCGGTGTGAATGCGCTCTGATATACATCTGTGTGTATGAAATTATATTACACATCTGACAGCTGCCAAACATTCAGAATATCTTCACTTCAACCTGTTTGGTTGCGGGACTAGAACTGGTCTCTGCTTGGTTCGTATCTGGCCTCTGATTGGCTACTTCTGCTTAGATGTCTTTACCACACTGAGTCCAAAGCCTTCGGGCAGTGTTCCAGCTGCAAAGAGTCGGGTCCAGCAACGGATCTTATGGTCGCCTCTGAGGTTTAATATCTCTGTAATGCAGGATTAGTACTGAGCAGAGTCTGCGGTCACACTGACGGAAGAAACTAAACTCTGCTTTCCACATTTTAAACTGAAACAAACCACTTTTAACTTTTACTTAAATTAAAGGATAGGTGATATTCTATTTTTCTCTCATAGTAAACAAAAATCTGAGGTGGCAAAGCATCCACATTCTTTACTTATGTAGAAGATATTTGTGTAAAAAAAGACTAAAAAGTACTGATTCTTCTTCTTCTTCAAGCTCTGAAAGTATAAAAGTACTCTGTAGTGACATTTTTCCTAGCTTGAAACTGAAACTTCGAATAGTATCTCCCTCTCTTGTCCCTTTTGTCTTATGTTATTATGTCTTTTATGTTTTTGGTGTTTTTGTTGCATTACATCTTTCATGCCTGATATGCACCAGCCTTGATGTTGGGAAGATGTGCAATAATGTAAAAAAAGAAACAAAAAGAATATGATAATAACAATCGATAATCATTCATTCCCCTGAAATGCATTAAAACTAAAGTAACAAGCCTGTTTTTAAAAATATATAGAGTAGAAAGTACAGATATTTGTGTAGAAACGTAGGATTTAAAAGTTAAAAGTTGTCAGAAAAAATAAATACTCAAGTAAAGTACAGATACCTGAAAAAACTATTTAAATAAATTAACGAAGTATTCCTACCTCTGAACAAATCCCATGAAAACACCAAAAGCAACAATTAACTGAAGTATTATCTGTGTGTCAAAGCCTTCTTCCTCCTTGTGACAATACTCACAAAAAGAACCAAATGTGGATTCATCCGCTGCTAAAAATAGTCCGCCACAAATGTATGTTTTCATTCTGTTTGAGTAACGTTTGCTAAAGCTGTGATATAAGCTTTAAAATGAAATGAAACGATATATTTAAGACTGACGTCTTCAGTAGGAACCAGTGGGCTTTCTATGTACTGCATATTTTGTTGCATAAAATACACCTGTGTCATTTCATGCCACATGTTGCAGAAAAAATGAGATTGGATTAATTATGACATAATTTAACAATTTTATATAAATGTGTAACACTATTAAAAATGTTTTTAAGTTTAAAATTGCCCCTGCCAGGATTATTAAACACAACATTTAATTTATCTGCTTTTTGGCACAAAATACACTTTACTTGTTGTTTTGTACATCTATGTATATAACAGAGCTGGAAAGACTCAAAATTATGCCAAGACTGACACGTTTAGTGCAGCATTTGATTCTGCTGCTATCAGGTTCGTGTTCCTTTGGTTGATTTGAATGTGTCCCAAGAAGAGGAGTGGCTGTGAGAGTCGTGGGGATATCCAGCCTCAGTTAAAAGGGCACTTGTCTTAGATTTCACGAGCGGCTATATTTAACGTACTGCCTTCCCATTAAGCTGTGAGGAGTCTGGGATGTGAGCTGCTCTGTGCCACCACCACTTTATATCTCTGAAGCTGTGAAGAATCTCCGAATTTTCAAGACAACAAATACATAAACGCTGTGAAACGTACCCTCTATTTGCAGGTGTTCCTTGGCTTTTGCTGTTCAACAAATAATACAAAGTCTTAATTTCATAATGTATGCAAAACAGTCTTTTGGAACAACTCTACAAATTTAGATTTTCATGTAATAATTCTTTTTTCTTTCAGTTTTTGGGGTTAAGGTTAGATTCACAGAAGAAATAAGTGACTTTAAGTTATTTGTAGTGTCACATAAGAAACCTTCAATTCTTCTTATTTATGTTCACCAAAATATGCCATTTTTCTCCCCAAGATCAGGTTTGGTAAAAGACACTTATAATAAAGGCTACAGTCCATTGATATGGGTCCATTGTGAGTTTACTGTATTGACTTAAAAAAAGATAAAAACAACTGACTACTTAAATAAAGAAACAAAAATTTACTGATGGCTGAAATTTCTTTTTGGTCAAGCAAAGTTGGCAGTTTATTAAGTAGTAAAGACAAAATGGATATAACCATTATATATCCACTACAGTGGACAGAGGTGTGATGTTTATTAGTTTTTAAGAACCTTGTAAAGAATATTAATAATAATATTAAAATGGCGAATTTGGATGCTTTTGTGAATGTGTGGGATTATGAAGAAAAGCTGGGGAAATCACTTCTGCAGACGGGTTGCTTTAATCTAATTTAATTTAATGATTATTTATTCTGATTTATATTTGGTTTTGTATTGTAGTCAGAGATTGTCTTTGTTGTAAATTATTGAAATATTGTAAATGTAGATTTATTTTTATCTAAATAAATGATCTCTCTCTCTCTCTCTCTCTCTCTCACTCTCACTCACTCACTCACTCACTCACACTCACACACACACACACACACACACACACACACACACACACACACACACACACACACACTCACACTTTGAGGGGGCTGGTCGTCTTCAGATCAGAGACCGGACACCTGTGTGACATTATGACCTCCTCAGCAGGACGTCAGACTGAAGCTCTCAGCAGTCACATCTCTGTGATATCACATCTAAACCTCTCCACTGTCGCTGGTACATTGACTTTACTTTAATGTGAACGGTGTAACTGCTGCAGAGCTAAAGCCTCACTTTCTCAACCAGAGACATCTGACTTTTTCACAGAGTACAACTACATTTACACTTGTCTGAATAATTAACATAAAAATCTTGTAAATGTTTTATTAATTAGATTTTCTTGTGTTTCAGTCTCTTTAATCTCATGCTGTAATTAGAAATGCATAATTTGTGTCTAAAACGCTCAAATATATTTATTGGTGATATATTGTGCTAAAACCACCAACATAAATACAATTAAATAGACAAATCAAATCTATCTAATAGATTACTATCTAATAGAATTACATAGTAAATAAACACTAATAAGTAAATCTTAGTTGTGGGATTTCAAACACAAAGAACTCCAAAATATCCCAAATAAGTGTTTTTTTGTGCTTCAACTTCCTTTTATTGTTGCTACTCTGTCACATCTATAATATTATTATTAATTGCAACAATTAGTTTGTGTAAATAGATAGAATAAATAGAAGTTGAGTCTCTAAAAAGTTTTTTCATTACTTACCTTTCACATTCCCTTTTGGAAAACATCTTTATATAAATAAGTGCTCCCTGATATTTAAAAGATATTAAGTGCAACTAAACTTTGTTGTCAGTTATGTGAACTGTTATCACTGCAAAATGTTTGTCTCAAAAGAAATTTCATGTAGTCAAATGATTCTTTTTCTAGTTACTCTTAAGTGACACAATGTAAACACTAAAATGCCTGGAAGAGTCATTTAATTCTGAGCCTGAGATTGATTTTGAGGTGAAACAAAATGATGGTGCTTCAGTGGAGACAGTTTTCGGATTTCCAGATATTTTTGGAAAAAAACTTAATTCAGGATTTTATAACCTAATAAGAAAACATAAGAAACAGTCCAAGTTATTGTATGTCCTTATATATTTGTGATATATCATTTAAAGGTTCCCTGTGGAGTTTTTTAACCTCTAGTAGCGCTATGGAGCTGGTTTTCTGTGATTAAGATGGACTCAATTGCTTTTTTATTGCTTCCTTTTTGTTGCTTAGTTTCACCTCAGTGACCCCTCCTCCTCCTCCTCCTCTCTCCACACACACACATATACTCACACACACCACACCCCTCAGACCATTGGTCACTTACACCACAGCCCCGCCCACACACTGACTCCTTTATAAAGACAGACCCAGCCCAGGGAGCTGAAGTTACACAGACTGGCCCTTTAAACACTGATCTCCTCTGCAGACACAAAACTACTTTCTTAAAAGGGTCAGCTGACTTTGACAGGAGACATTTAAGAGAAACTTTCATCTATATCTTCCTGTCTTTTACTCTCTTTGTAGCAAATAGACGACACTTTGTGGAGACTTTCTTTTTCAGTCATCAGAGGAACCTTTCAGGGGACTTCTTCCTCTTTGCACTCTTGTCACTCTTAGGGAATCTTCTACAGAGCCCGATGGATCTGTCCGACCTTCCCTTCCCTCTCTCTTCTGCTGATGACCTCTACGATGACCCCTGCTTCAGCACCAGCGACATGAACTTTTTTGACGACCTGGACGCCCGGCTGATGCACGCCGGCCTGCTGAAGTCAGAGGACCATCTTCATCACCATCACCACCACCACGTCCCCATCGCAGAGGAGGAGGACGAGCATGTGAGGGCTCCCGGGGGCCTCCACCAGGCAGGGCACTGCCTTCTTTGGGCTTGCAAGGCCTGCAAGAGGAAAACGACCCATGAAGATCGGAGGAAAGCCGCAACGATGAGGGAAAGGCGAAGGCTTAGTAAAGTCAACGACGCCTTTGAGACCCTGAAACGCTGCACGGCGTCCAATCCAAACCAGCGGCTGCCCAAAGTGGACATCCTCCGCAACGCAATCAGCTACATCGAGTCCCTGCAGGCGCTGCTGAGGACTGGCCGGGACGACGGCTTCTACTCGTCAATGGAACACTACAGCGGGGATTCGGACGCCTCCAGCAGCCCCCGCTCCAACTGCTCCGATGGCATGGTGAGTCCAAGAACAGCTGAACAGTTCATGTGCTGCCGCATGAAATGTTTGGAATGTGTTTGGGATATTTATTTTTGGCTACAGTGCTTCAATATATTTTCAATGAAGGGGAACTTTAAAATCACATTTAAAGTCACATTTTAGGAGAAAATTGACTCTGAACCATTGATATGTGCACTTCTTTCACTCTGGCAACTGTCAGTTCAAGTTTCTAATGCCTAAATCTATGTTGAAATTGACTTACAGCACATTTGTGACTGTTTAGAAAGGGATTTTAAACCAATTTGCAATTTATTTGGAAATAATTTGGCAATAAATGCATCATCAAATTAGCCAAAATACAAAATATCCTACATTTAATTTAATGTCAAATAATTCTGTCCTGTGTTCTTGATGTCTCTGTGTTGCACAGAAAAGTTATGCTTTAACAAATAACAGATCAACAATTAAACAATTAAAAAAGTCCCATATTTTTACCTAACATATTGATCCTTTTGACCTAAGATATGCTTATTACATGCTAAAATGTAGAATGAATGATGTCGCACTGATGTGATAAAACTGATTGTTTTCCAGACTAAAACATCTCTTGTGTCTTAACATGTTCAAATCCCAACAGAGGGGAACAAACTCTGGAGAACAAAACATTAAAAACATGATTAAGTGCATAAGTACGTCATAATAAAACACAGAAAATAAAGCTGCTTTTAAACATAAATCATGTGGAAATCTCAGCAGTCACATATCAACTGTGCATCATTCCTCTCTGCAAACACTGTGTCAACTTATTGATCATTGATGTTTAGTTCCTTGACTGAAATTGTCTTGATTGATTTGTTTCCAGATGGACTTCATCTCTCCATGTTCGACCAGAAGTGAAAACAGTGACGGCTCCTACTGCAGCCAGACAGCAGACGGTCAGTTTCACACAGTCACTCCTTTTAAGATAATTTGTTTCTACTTCATAAGCAGTTTCTTCTCTTTTCATTCAACCAGTTTTAATTTCAGTTTTATAATGACTTGTTTTTGATAGTTTGTATTTTCTCTTTCTATGTAACTAGCTTCTTCATTACAACCAATCTGTCTTCTAAATGGACTATATTATTCTTAAATATGACTTGTTTCTTTATTAATATAACAGATTTATCTCTTAATATGACCACACTTTATTTCAATGCTCTCATTTAAAAAGTCCACCTTGAGATTATGCTTAATCTGACCTGTTTTCTCCCTAAATAAATTAGCTTTTTCTTTTAATGTATACTCCATTTCCAACTTGATTCTCCTTTAAAATCATCATCTTTACTCAAAGTAACATGACAGATTTGTCATTTAATATAATGTGCCTCTGGTTTGATTTGAAAAGTAAAAGTTTACTCTTTCAATATGACCTTTACAATGACCTTCTTGTTCTTCAATATGACTGACTCCTCCTAATATGACATAATTCTCATAAAAACATAAAAAACTGAACATTTTTAGCAAACTAAAAATACATTTTTCCTGTTTCTCTATTACAGATTCCAGCAACAACAAGCGGTCGCTCATTTCCAGTTTGGACTGTTTGTCCAGCATCGTAGAGCGGATCAGCACAGATCCAGCTGTGGCCCCACTGGGCGACAGCGTGGTCCCCCGGGGCCCCGGATCGCCTCAGACCAGCCCTGCAAGCTCCAGTCCCTCTGCTGAAGCCAACACCCTCAACGAGCCGCTCTGAACCCGACGGAGCCGAGGACTCGAACTTTAAAAGACTTTATTTTCCTGAAGTTTGAGTCCAGTTTCTCCAGACTGCTGTTGTGTTCCATTAATGTCAGCAGAATGAAAGCAGAGGACATTTTCCTCACGGATTCTGCTGCAGATACAATAACTGAGGACCATTTTGTACATCTGTAAATAAGAGCTGTTTGTTCACACTACACACACACACACACACACACACACGCAAACACAGACACAAGGGATGCTGGGATTGTTGTGTCATATGTCTATATATATTATTTATGAGTGAATGGCATTTTAATAAAGAAATATTTATATTCTGATTCCTCTGCTAAGCAAATTTTTTCAATAACTTGAATCTGCTCTAATATTATAATAATACATCTTTTATTAAGTCTGTAATAGGACTAGTGGGTAGAATTTTGAGGCATCTAGCGTTGAAGTTGCAGATTCCAACTAAATTAGTCGGAGAAACTACGGTGGCTGTGAAATTTGAGAAAAACGTGAAAGGCCCTATGTAGAGCCAGTATTTGGTTTGTCCGTTTTGGGCTACTGTAGAATGGTGATTTCTGAGAGTGTCTCTGTGGAGAGAGTTGAACCAAACCAGTAAAGTTGCAGAAACAGCCAAAACAATGAGCTGAAAGATGCTAAAATGCTTCATCCTCTGTGGGTTCGTCATTATTACCCGCCTCTTTCACATTCACTTTTGACCCACAGCAGCTTTAAGTATCACAACTTAAATTGTAGTGGTGATTCAACGATGTCAAATTGTATGGAGATGTGTGTAAAATGATTCACAAAACTTAAATATTAGAATGTGATTATGCAGCCATGAATTATATTAATATCTCAGTAAGTTTGAATATTTTATTCGTCGTATAGGACCCATTGCTTCAAAGTGTTGGATTAAACCAGAATATACAACACAATTTGTTGAAGAAGTTAAAGTAGGTCCAAAGATTGTTTGTGTCTTTCAACAGGGATCTTTGAACACTAACAACAAACATTACTTTGTACTGTAAAGAAGAGTAAACTCCATGATAAAGGCTGTGAGATGCAGTTGAAAGCAAGTCAGTGGACAAGTTAATCTTTTGTTTATGAAATAATTTTTACACTTCCGAAAAACAAGTGGTGATTGAATGGAGATCTCAATTTAAAATACAGGCTATCTGAGTTATTTTGCTCTAATTTACTGCAAAAAAATATTATATATTATCTAAAATATTATGATAAAATTAAAAAATGATATATCATATGTATATAATATACCGAAAGTCAGTTAAAAATGAATTTAATCAATTAAGTCTTTACCTTAAATGTTTTGTGTTGGAGTTTTACTGCATGAAACTGTTACTCGCACAAAGCTTATCAATCAGGACAATCAAATAGATCGATAGGTATACATTTAGACATTCAGACTGGAGGATTAATGATTTTGCCATTTTATTCTCTGAATCTTTTTCCTTACACGAACACAGTGAGTTCAAATTTCTTTATTGGAGCTAAATTCATCCAGATAAACGTTTCACTCAAGCAGACACAGGCGGTAAGAGCTGCCAGTTGTTGCCTTTTGTTCCGGAGCTGCGGGTGTCTACGGGGTCGCTGTCGTAGCCGAGGGGACGGGCCGTTACTCAGGGGCGGCTCACTTCCTGCGGCGCGAAGCGGCTCCCTTCTTGCTGCTGCAAAGCGCAAAGAGCAAAAACAAAGTCATATCTGCACAATAATCCTTTATGATGACTTTATTTATTATTGATTGATATATATATATTGTAGAGAATTACTACTGAACCAACTTAGATATTATTTTAACTTAAAGCTACATCGTCATCTAGTGTCCAAACACAGGCCCACTAGTTAAAATCATTAACCTACAGTGGGCTATTATTTACATTAACATGATCAATAACCTATAAATACTATATTTGTTTTATTACTAGGTCAATTTATCTAAAGTCTAGAGAAGAGTACTTTTTTAAATCTTTGTTCCCTCAAGTATATTTAATGTTAATACTTTTGCACTTTTATTTGAGTAAAACTTTGAATGCAGGGTTGTACAGAATATTTTCAAATTGTAGAATTGCTACTCTGAATACTTATTAAGTAATACTATTACATTATAATATAGCCTACAGTGGACCACATGCATATCTATCATGTATCTATGATTTATTAGTTTATATGTTAGTTTTTATTAAATCTTTAAATTTAAATAAGTGTGTGAGTTTGGAGTTTGATTGTATTGTCACTTTTCCAACGTGAACAAACTGTACATGCACTCAAAGATAATAGATATCAATATCTTTTCTTTGTTGTTTTCACCACGTTGTTTATGCTGTAAACAAGCTACTTACTGTTTCTGCAGCTCATCAATGCGGTTTCTGAGAGAGATCACCTGAAAGACAAACAGCTGTGTTTGAAGCAGATCTCACCTGTCAGAGTCTCTGTTTACAGCTTTTAATACATTATATTTATTTAAATTTAATACATTCAAATGCCACAATGTATTCAGTATTTCAGGCTCAAATCTCCTGTTGCCCTTAAACTGGGTGTGACCTGTCCCGGATTATTTAACCGCAGGAGAATGTGGATGTGAACAGGGAGGAGCACGAGGAGTAAAAGAGAACTGACGCAGGCGGATGTGTCACTGCTGATCAACCTCAACAGGAAATACTCTAAATATGTCATAATAAAAGTATTCACAGAATTAATATGGGAAAGAAGAGTTGATAATTCCATATCTAAACTTGACATGTTGCACAGATTACAACATTTCCCCACTGACCTCGTATCTCTGTCTCTTGAGCGCCTCGCAGTGGTCGTATTTAATTGCCTCCAGGTTGTGCAGCCACTCCCACAGCTCCTTCGCCTTTTCCCTGAAACAAACCAGACACCAAACAGTCAATAAAAAAATCATCTAAACCTGAAAAATAACATGTTGCTTCTGGAGCAAATAAAAAAACCCCCACCATATTTTAACCCGTAACTGTGTTTTTATCTTTATCCTTATTTCAACTGCTGTTTTTCTTTTCTGTCAAAGTAAGATCAGAGGATTGTGACGTTTTGAATATGAGACCACTCAATTTGCATGCAAGTTATTTGATGTTTTAGGACAGGTTTTATAAAAAAAAGTTTTGTATTTTGTCTCTATGTCCACAGTTTTTTGCACATTCCTGCAAACTGTACAGCTCTTTACTCATTCATTTATTTAAATAACAGTTGTATTTTACATATTGTCTCTCTTTTTATCTATTTCTATTTTTATCTTTATTTCTATTCTCTGTGTTTACTGTAATGCTCCAGTTTACAAAGGCAAATTCCTTGTATGTGAAAGCCTACATGGCTATAAACCTGATTCTGATTCTGGGCTGTCATCGGTCCAGAGATATAAGAACTGTGTTGATGGGACATTCTGAGCATGAGTGATGTCAAAATATATAAAGTGATAGTGAAACATGAAAATATACTGTATATATTAATGGATTTTGTCAGCCTATTATTCATTGTCTTATTTCTATTTGGGGGATAATCATGTGCTATGTTTTGCGACTACAGTTCCCATAATGCTTTGAAGGATGTAAACAGGAAGTATAATGTCAACAGGGATGCACTTCGCTGTAGGCTACAGCATTTATTCACATTTTGGCAAATTAGCTTGTAGTTCTTGTTAGCAACAAGCTCATGGATGTGCCATCACTGGATTACTGTCACACTAATGTCAAACTGTTTGTATTATTGTTTCAGCTGTCCTGGGACTGGGGATGAAAATGAGCTTTTATATCTGTAAAATGCATCAGATTTTAAGTATTGCAATTTATGTTTATTATACTCAGTCCCTATAAAAACAAAATATTCAAAATGAATGAATGAAAAGAAATAAACTGAAGGAAACTCAGGAATGTGATGATTCTCAGGGAATTTGAGTTTGCCTTCACACATTTAAAATTATGTTTGTAACCCAGAACAGAACAATGAATGCTCTCAGTGACTCTTGTTCCCTCCTGTGCGTTACCTCAACTTATCCTCCCCAAAGTTCTCGATGTTCAGGGGCTTGCATCTTTCTGCCATGATCTTCTTCTTCTTTTCTCTTTCAGTCTGCCTCTTGCCTCTCTTCTGGTCCTGGAAAAGTCCAACTAGTTAGGAGTCCATGTCTTCTCAAACATACAACATGTTACTGCTTGCTTCGTATGAGGCTGAAACAGAAATCGGAAATCACAACAACAACGAAAAGAAACAACAGGAATACCCTCTGCAGGATGCCGCTGTAGCCTGATCCCATGTTGCTCAGCGTTAACTTCTTCTTGGCTTCATCCTCAGCCTTCCTGTTGGCGTCGGCCTCCTCCCTTTTCTGCCGCTCAGCCTGTAAAATACATTTTAAAATATCCCAAATGGACAGCATGAAACTGCTTTTACTTTTTCTCTTTGCAAATGAACACTTATGGGTATTTGTAAATGTGAATTTCTTTCTATAAGTTAATCTTTTAAAAACAGGCCACTGCTGTTGAAAGAATGAAGTGACAGACTGAGTTGTGCTGTGAACGGCACTGTGACGGATCAGTGGAAGCAGAAGCTGCGTACCTCCCGCCTGGCCTGTCGCTCTTTATCCTTCTCAGCACGAATCCTCTGCTGCTCGGCTCGCTCAGCACGACGCTTCTCCTGCAAATCAAAACACAGTGCTTCAACCCTTCATGCCACCTACAGAAATTAATGCTAATGCTTTAGTTGTTTGATTTATTTCTGCATATCTGGGACTGTGGTGATTTTTAAACAAAGCCTAATCACTAACGTACATATAGAAACACCAGTTATGTTTTCTATTTGGTTAAAATCCTCACAATTCTTTCTTTGAGACCGATGAGCTCCTCTTCCTCCTTCTTCCTGCACTCGAAGTGGGCATCGATCAGCGACTGCAGCTCAACCAGGTCTTTGTTTTGACGTTTCTTCTGGATGTCCTGCAGGAGGTAGACAGGAGACGGCAGTTACTAACTAATAAGTCTTTCAGCAGAGGAATTTTGGTTAATTATTATTACTATAATTCTTGTAGTAAATAGAAACAAAAGCACCAATAAGAAAAACATACATTGTAGAATAATTCACCCATTCACACACACCGATGAGCTGCCGGGACCATTGGGAGCAATTTGGGGTTCAGTGCTTTGCTCAAAGGCTGGTGGACAGGAGTTGCTGGGGATCGAACCACCAACCCTGTGATTAGCGCCGACGTGCTCGACCTCCTGACTGTCGCTCAGGAGGTTGAGAACATGAGAACGTTGTATGTTTGTGTTGAGGAGTCACATGAGACTGAGGGGAGTGCAACCACAGCTAACAGATAGTATTGTGTGATCAAGTTTGTCTCATACATCAGTGAGGAATTTTATCTCTACACTTTTCTTGCTATTAGTTTGCAGGAATAGTTGAAGGAATTAGCTGTCATGTGCAAATGATTTTCTTGTCTGTGGGAGTACGGAATGAAAATGAAAATGACTGTATAACATTGACTGGAATTTGGAAATCAGAAAATCTGTTTTGGTTACCTTAGAATGAGATGTTTTTATCTACAGAAGGAGCGGGCCCACCATGTTGAACCACCATGTTTCTACAGTAGCCCGAATGATCAAACTAAACACTGACTGTAGATGGGGCCCTTCTGTTTCTTTTGTGGCCCCCACAGTTTCTTCTACATGCTTAAAAGGCAAGCAGATGTCACTAAATCCTACACACTGGTCCATTAAGTGGTATAAATGTGCACCAAATTTTTAGGCAATGTGTTTCCGGATTCCTTTCCTGGATAAATATCAGTCAACAAAAACTTACATCAAAGTCCACTTTCTCGCCATCAGGCATCTTTGGAGCAGAGGGTCTGTTCAAGGAGATAAAATTCCAATTATAACAACAAGTAGCCTAAAGGTGCCATCAATGTGAAAACATAACGGATGAGATAATAAAGGTACTCACTTGAACTTTGGCTTCTCTTCTGGAATTTCAGCATCAGAACAGCAACAGGGAGAGAAGACAGAGATAAAACTGTTAGAAACCCGAATATGGAGAGAGACAGAGACTAAAAGACTGCTGGTTAATCGGGGAGGGGGAGATCCATGTTGACAAGCTGAGTTACATCTGAGGGCTGCAAGTTGTTTCACACCTCCAATAGATCAAAGTCATTTGAGTGAGTCAATGTAGCAACACTTTCCATGATCAGTGGCCCAATTCCTGTGTGTTAGCCTCTGTTTTCAGTGCTGTAAGTACACGGTGTTTTCTATTTCACAGTGTTAATTTATTGTGCATTAGTGTGTGAATCAAACCAATATAATCTCTGACATTTGACGAATCAGGATCAGTATACTGTGTGCAATAAATCACCACATAAACTTAATTTAATAGTGTAATTTTTCAAACATACTTCATTATACACTTTTCACAACAGGGAGTTTGACAGTGTAATTACTGTTAATTGATGTGCATGGGGGATTTTAACAGAAACAAATGACTATGTTTGTGATTAGCTTTTTACTTTTTTATGGGGACCTAAAAAAAAGACAGACAACACGGGAGGAAAACGCAGGCAAAGCGACAGCGACTCAGCAGGAAATACAAACTACCATCTTGATCTCCCTCGTCCACTGGCAGGACACATAAATGCAAAAAAGAGAAGAAGCAGAGATGAGCAGTGGGGCCTGTAATCAGGACTCTGCATTTCTGAATCCATCACCCTGTTTCACCACGTCACCTCTGTCGGCTGACGAAGAGACTAAAGCGAACGGATAAATTCTGCCTTTCACTCAGAGCAGATCAGTGAGACAAACAAATGCACGCAGTTTGAATTATTCATGTGTGAAAGAGTCCCTGGCCAACAGCGAAACAGAAATAATATCCAATCAGAAGAACAGAGAAGAATACAAATCAACGTACCTTCCTCTTCATAGGCCTCTGCATGCAGCAAGCGTCCAAAGCAAGAGCAGAACAGAAATCATTAGTGGTCGGACTGGCCAGCCTGCTCATGTCCTCTTTATGGTGCAGCTTATGAAACACATTTACCAAATTGGGGTGATTGTATTCTTAATGTGTAGGCACTGGCAGTCGCTGCAGAAGTCCCATCATGCATTAATCCTCCTGGCAGCTTTTACTTAACTAACAATCCTGAGATTTTATTTTGAGAAGAAACTGTGTGTTCCTTCTGACTGAATATTGATATTAAATTTAAAACAATTTAAAAATATCAATCTTTATTTCCTAAATAAGATCCTCATTTGACGGATCATCTTTACTGGTTATATTACAAATGCACAGTTATTTTCTTGAGTTAATTTTACTAAAAAAATTGTTAAAACTGATTACATTGAACATTTTGAGTCAAATTTTGAAGTTTAAAAAAAAACATTCCCGATCGAGTAGCTTTAGTAATTGTGACACTGACTTAATTTTGTACTTTTTATTTGTACCGTGGAAACAAAATATCTAAAAATACTTGACAAGTCCTTTGTGGTTGTGACTCTTGTGACTCTTGTGAGTAGCTACTGTCCAGTTTAAGCGGCAAAGAAGGAAGTACTGTCACGTTGTCATGTTGACTTTGACTCTGGAGACTGTGGTTTATTTTTCTGATGAAGGTTATCTCTCCCAAATCCTAACCAAACATAACCCGACCTTAACGATAGTGTTGGAGGATGAGAAAACACTCTTTTGAGTTACAGTCATATGAGTCCTTTGGAATTTACTGTACAGGCCTTACAATTTACCATTTGACGAGAACAATAAATACACAGTTTCAGTGCTAAATTATAGCCATTATAACCTGGTAAGTCTGTGGTTTCATTTGGTTTGTTTTGTGGTCTTTCTGCACCATAGTGTATGGAAGATTTACAATGACTAAATGAAAACTAATCAAAAAAGCAAAACAGTGAACACATTGTAATCTGTTTTTTCTTTTTATGTATGCGTTTACTGTGTCATAATTAAATAACAAACATGTTAAAAGTACAATCAATTAGCCATTTGCCTTAATTGAATGAAGTATTTTCGTTATTTACATGGCAAAGATAGTAGTACTGTCACATTGTTGCACCTCCTCATAAAAACTAATCACAGTGCTTCTCATTTCAAACTGGCAGGTCTCTGCTGCTCTCTGCTGGACAACACTGAAATGCAATACACCTCTTCACTTTATTTTCTGTGTTGTGATTTGATTTTAATGTGGCATGTCTCAATGAAAAACATTTTTAATTGTCAATTACCATGTTTTTATTGAATTATGACAAAGTAAATGCATATTTAAAAATGATATACTACAATGTGTACTTTTTTAAACCTTTTTTTTCCCATGTTTGATTTGTTGTTTGCATCATAAAGCTTTCATACAAGTGCTCAGCAATTTCTACACTGATTATCATCAGTCAGTCAACTGTTCCTTCATGAAACAGAGCAAAACACAATTTTTCTAAACCGAAGCAGCGGAATCAAAGCATTAGTTCAGCAAGCGTAGAGTAAAGCCTGGGACTTCTGCAGTGACTCCATCTGTGTGAAACACTTTGCACACACCGTACAAGCATTTAAATAAACTTGAATAGAGACGATGAGTGCTTTGCATAACAACACTTCAGTGTATATGCTTTAGAGCAGTTTGCCAGTCTCACTCTTCATCTACACACAGAAAGAAAGAAGCTAAACATAGACTAAAGGGAGTCAAACAAAACAGCTTTTACATGACTGAAATTACCCATCATCCTTTCTGCAACAGCCTTCCAGATAGTTGCCAAAATGCAAGTCATTAACAACAAAATGAGAGAAAAATAGATAGAAGGTGATGGATGAGACAGGGTAATTGATTCATGTAAAGGCAGCAGATTTTCTTTTTCTCCCTTTAAACATTTACAGCTCATATTCAACAACACACGTCTGACACTGAGCAATAATGCTGGAAACAGGACAAAATGTTTGGTTTTGATTGCGTGTCAGCTAACACTGATTGTGATGTGATATTTGTGTTTTAAAGCAAAGCCCAAATGTTTGCCGCAGTGCACTCTAAAAAACAGGGGTTCTTCGAGGAGCCCGAAGACACCAAAAGGCACTTTAGTGTTCTTCATTAGAACAAGACTAAAGTGCAACACACATTGGCCTTGTCATGCCACACCGATCGAATGTAATAAAACAAGAGCTGACGCACGTTGACGCTGATGAAAACAATGGGTACAAGTGTGTGGACGTGTTATACACTGCTGGTGTGTGTTACCCCACTAGTGGCTGTAATGGTCATGACACTGGAATGAAGGAATAAATTGATGATTTTGCTATTTTTAGCATCTTCAGAAATGGGGCTGTGAATGTAAAATTAGTTTTGAGCGTGGCGCAAGAGGAAAGCCAGTGGAGTTATTGAAATACGAAAAGAGGCATGAATGTGTAGCAAATAACTCATGGCAATATCTAGATAAAGAGGTATAAAGTTTATATTTTCAGGTCATTCAAGGTCATGGAGTGTCCAAAATGGAGAGGGCTCAACCTCTGGGGAACATGAATGTGCTCAATTCATTTTTAATGGCAACCTACCAAAATTTTGATGGTGGCTTAATGGTCCATGATATAATAGAGAAGGCCTGGGATCAACAAAAATATTGGGATTCGTTTTCTGTTTTCATGTTTTTGGACCAAAAGTGTGGGACAGATGGACGGACAGACGGACCATCTGGCATCTCCATCCATAAATAATGTTACTAGTGGGACAATCGGGAAAAAAAAGGGTCTCTAAAAGGCTGTTTGAAAAGCCTCACTTGGAAAAATGTTTGAGAGACCCTCAGTGTTGGGCTTCTTCAAGGAACCCTTGTGTTTAGTATCTGAAGAACACCTGTGGAATAACTTTTTAGAGTGTGCTTTTCTGATGATCCTAGTGTGGTGACATTGAAGGTGGGAGAGGCAATGGATCAACAGATGATTATGGAAAGAGACAGTTTCTTCTGTATCTAGGAATATATATATATATATATATAATAGTATTGTTTTTATCACTAACAAATACATGTAAGAGCATTTTAATGCTGTAGGACCAAATTTTATACATACAACTGGGTAGATTAATAGTACAGTACTCCATCTATCATACCGTTTAAGCATATCATGTTTTTTTAAATGTAAAAAGTAACAAAGTCATACGTTAAATAAGTGTCAAATATATTGAGTGGATTAAAAAGTACAATATTTTCCTCTAAAATGTAGTGGAGCAGAAGTATAAAATGGAAATTGTATGTACAGTACTTGACTAAATGTACTTTCCACCACAGCGGTTAATGTAACTTGTGAACAGTGAATTTTAATCCAAAATTTGTTGGAGATGTGCAGCTGTGATTTAGCTACGCTGCAGCTAAATAAAATAACATGTGGCTTTTGTGAATGTTAATTATAGTAATAGAAACCATCTCCACTGCTTGGAATGCATCCTGACACAATTTGTTAACTCACTCTGCAAGTTCAGAACTTTTGTGGGCAGTTATGAAGAGGAGGTAACTCCAGTGGGAAGGGCTAAATGGAAGCTAGAGGGGAGCTAGATTAGTGAACTGCAAAAATATCAAACCTAACAAGACAACTGACTCTTGAGTCTTCAAACTTTCTTTTATGTAGAATGAGTGGAATAGAAATCTGCCAGTAGAGTGTGATGAAGCAGCACTATAATGCAGAGACTCAACAGATCACTCCACCAGAGAACTGGTAATACGACTCTAAACTGGAGACACTCGATTTTTATCTCTGTGTCAATGAACATATTATTTTCAGCAGCAGTTTTAGTGTGAATAGAGTTTCTGCTCTTTCCTAGCATCAGTTTATTGCAAATGGTCCACCATTTGGGTTGGGGATTATTAATGGGGGAATGTAATCTTTCAATATGAAATATATTTACAAGGACATTTTTGCTCTTATTTAGAAAGTCGTTTTCTAATTAAGATCAAAAATGTCTGCTGCTGTACTGCTTTTATTATCACATGGTTCCAATAAGTTGTAAATAATGTAATTTCAGCAGTGTTTCAGTCAACACTGACTGTTTTCAATAGTTTATGTGTGTTATTGTTACCTACTGTATCAGACCTTTCCTAGCAACATTACGGCTTTACAAAACTACAGCTTCAAAGTTTTAAGCCATAGGACTACATTCACAATGACGCATCTTGCAGCTGTTGTACTACAAAGTGACAACATGACGGCACACCCATTCAAAGTCTATTTATTCTTTTCTATGGACTGTAGGTGGAGTTCTGAGAAAGGGACTAACAAATGCATAAGAAGGCATCCCTCAAATTTATTTTGGAGAAGAGAATATGGAAATCATTAAAGTGCATAAAAGTGCTTCAAGGCAAGGACTAACCTTTACTGACTGAATCAGAAAAGTCCAGTTATTTATTGGTATTGTAATGACTTTACTTGACCCCGGCAATGGTAATGTGATTAGAAAATGTTGATCTGTTATAAAATATATTTTAAGGTAAAAACAGACTTAACACAGGAGGGACGTAAAAACTCTAATTACAATAATTGTCCTTTAAGACTCAATAGTTTGACTTGTCAGGCAGGATATGTTTTGCAGCGTGTTGATGTTGACAGGACTGTCTATGCTACGGAGCACAGTGCTGTATGTCCTGCAGGAGAAGGGTGAACGGACTGCCCATGCCACGTACCTTCCTCCTCATGAACCACCTCCTGTGGCTCTGGCTCTGGTTCTGGTTCAGGCTCTACCTCTGGCTCTGCTTCTACCTGGGCCTCCGCCTCAGGGGCTACTTCTACTTCTACTACCTCCTCCTGGGCTACGGGCACGCAGCATGCACCAAACCGCCGGGAAGAGGGAGGGTGTCGGAGAAGGCCGTTAATGAAGACCACAGACATGACAGAGCCATTAGAAACCAAAAGTGAGACATTACTTTAGTAACAGAGAGGATGGATGGGTGAGCGAGGGACAGAGCTGCTGGAGAGAGAGAAACACATGATGATGAGAGAAAGACAGTTGACCTTTCACACAGAAGCCATATTGAACTGTTAAAGTGGAAAACTACCTGAAGAGCAGACAGTTTTGTACAAGGGATCATACAAAAGTTTCATTTAAGTATGGAAGCCTAGAGCAGCTATGGAGGCTAATCAAACTTTTCTCCCATTTTCTCAAGATCATTGTGATCTTAGTTAAACAAGCGTTATTCTCAGAATTATGTCATGTATTTTAATAAAACTTAAGGTAAGGGTCAAAATAAATAAAACTGAAAAACATTATTCATACTGAGGAATAACATTTAAATATTAGCTGGATTGATTTGTTCACAGGCCTAACTCAAAAGTGAATCGTCAGTCAGCGTATGGCAAATTCTTTATGAACATCTACTGCTATTAAGATGTAGTTTTTTTTTAATGCTAACAACATCAGCTTCTTTGTAAATCACAAAGGCTTAAAAAGTTATATTACTAACTAACAGGAAGTAGATGCTAATTCATTTTAGAATATGGATAGTAAACCCAGAAGACGTTTTGCTTGTAAGGTAAACAGACCAATGATAGAAGCACAGGATAAAAGATTTAACTGAGTTACAAGATAATGGAACAGCAGCTAGACTGCTACCCTAACCTCTTGTTTAATGTATTGTGATGTGACTGGATCAGTAACATTTTATGAGTTAAGTTAGATGAGTTTAATGAGTCTTCCAGGTAGTTTTCCACCTCCACTGTTACAAATATGGCCGTTGTGTGAACGAGGTCAATTTGCACTGATGTGGCATCAACAGATGACAGTGTACACATGCCAAGAAAAATAAATGTAGAGAGCCGAGAAGCTCAATCACATTTTTTTCTCAACCATGTGATTCAAAACATCACTCAGTCAGAAAAAGTCACCCTTAACCTGGAAGTGTTTGACTGACAGCTTGGTGTTAGTTAGCTTCCTCCCTACACGAGAATACACAGCCTGTACTTTTGTGCTGACAGTTAAATATTGTACAAGAAATAGACCGGTAAAAGACATTCAATGATACTGTAAAACAATATAAAGCTATTTTTACTCCGTCTGAGGGTAAATAAAGCAACGGGGCTGAGGTATATAACAGAGAGTCTGATCTGTTTCACAGTTCCACTTTGGATTAAGGGATTCCTGCTACGTCTCATATGAAACCTGTGCAGATGTTAGTGTGTCCTGTATGAAGAGCAGGTGTCAGTGTCAAACACTTCAAATTAAGGGTGAAATCAGGCAGCTGACAAATTAGTACAGTGGAGAAAAGTCTGAAATGTCGAATCGATTCAGTCGTCTTTACCTTCCTCGTCTTCAGTTTTGGAACAAAAGAAGGCATAAAATGGGACAACAGAAACAAACATGGTGTCATTTCATAATTACTATTACATAATCAAAAAGCTACTAACATTTACAACATGTGGTTTCAAATTCACATAAATATATTACGAAACATTTATTAACAGGTATTTGCAGTGAATTTGTGGCATATTTGCAATCTTTTTTGAGAATTCTTTTCATAGTCTTATTATAGAAGGATAAAACTTCAGAAACAGACTGTTAGTTCACCTCCAAGACTGTGTGTGACACAAAGCCTATCAAAGTCAGTAACATTAAAAAATAACTATATAAAAACACTTTTTTTAAGTATTATTTTTTAAGCATAGTCATAGCTTGCCTATTTTGTTGTTATATGTTATATGTTTGTTTGTTATATATAGTCTAACTTACAAACATATAATAAATAAAAGTGGTTGTCACTTACCCTCGAGCTGATCCCTGAAATATGAAAGAAAAGACATTCAGGAATCAATCAAACATGAACTCCCAGCTGTTAAAAGTGAGTGTTGTTATTGACAGTGTGGGATTCACTTACACTTCCTCAGTGTCAGACATGGTGACAGCAGACTTCACACCTGAGGGAAAAGACAAAGAGCCCGATGAGCTGACAGGGTGGAAACAGAGAGACTGTGTGGATATTTAAAGGTTAAGAGTTTGATCCCCACAGAGACATCCGTCCGGCTGCAGGAATACCAAACTCCTCCTGCTTCAGTTTACTCTTTTTTTATTTATTAAACTGGAGATAAAAAGATACAAAATACTGAAAAACCCCTAAAAGAAATGGGTTTGTTAAAGCAACAAAATCTGCCTCTGAGCACCTCTAAAGCTCACTAAGTAACATGTTATATCTCATTAGATTTTTCCATACAAAAACTGAAAACAAAAGGCTATGGTTTTATGGGGAGTTATTTGCTGTCTCTGCTGGTTGCCTGGCAACGCCAAGGTGACCGCAAGGCTCCAGGAACAAATAGTCAATAATCACAGCACACAAGGTGTTAATTAATGAGCTTTAGTGGTGCTGGTGGTCAGATTTTTTAAACTGTTGCCAGAGCCAGGCTGGTTGTGTCTCCATTTCCAGTCTCTGTGTAAAGCTAAGCTAATTGCCCTTTTGGCTGTAACTTCATATTTACTCAGGGCTGCAAACTTTTCCGTTTAGTTAGGAGCGACATTCAGTATCGTTGAAGTCGGTGCATTTTATGAGTAAGCTAGGCCTTATTTTAAAAGCATTTGTAGATTAAAGCTCAATAATGATGGTCAATGATGAATAAATATGGCTTTCCAACCTCCAGATACATTTTCAATGGTTGCAGTTTGGTAACAGGCCTGTGTGTTATGGCCCATGTGTAATTTAGTTCATTGTTGTGACGATAATTTTATTCTACGACAGGATAATGGTTATGAGATTATTACCAGAATAAAGAGCTGTCTGTCCTTATAGTTGGTAGTATTATATTGAAGGCGTTCCTTTACACTGGTGACTCTCTCTTTTATCCATCTGAAGACAGCAGGTATCTTTTCCAACTGGAGTGATGTTGCACACTGTGAGCAGCAGCTAATTATGTCACAGGTTTAAATATCCTCGATCATATGGATCAAATTGTTTAATAATAATATTTCTGCACAAGTTTCAGCTATTTATCTTCAACAGTAATATGCAAGCATACTTAAGATTTCACACACACACAAAGGTATCCAGGGAAGTTATTGGCTATAGATTCTCTGCGTGAGAAAATGGAGCGTGGCGTGAAAAGTGTCAATTGCGTGCCAATGTGTGAGAGTTGGCAGCTCTGTTAACTGTACAGACATGACAGTGGTATTGATCTTCTCTTCTAACTCTCGGGAAGAAAGCAAATGAGCATATTTCTCAAAATGTCAACTATTCCTTTAAAAAGAATAAGTTTACAAGGACGCACTTTGTTAAGAAACATCCAACCAGAGCTTAAAAGTCTGCTGAGTGCACCGCTAAGATCAAACAGAAGATTATTTCAGAGGGAAATATTATACTTTTTACTATTTATCTAACAGCTATACTGCCTAGTCTCTATATCTAAAACATATAATCAGTGTATAAACTATACATTGTTATAGATTGCACTACCCAGCAGCATAGAAAGTTGTTAAAATTAGCTCTCCGTTGACATTAAACCTAAACATTATTTTGCATGCAGTATTTCTTTCATTGCAGTACTTTTACTGAAGGAAAAGCTCTGAGTACTTCTTCCATCACTGGGCTGCGGCCACTTAAGGTCACTGAGCTGCAGCATATTGAATCTGTCGCCACTGAAGCATTTTCACACTTGGCCCAAACACCTTGTCCAGAACTGTTTACTCAGCTGGTTGGGGGGGTGTTATCTTCTTCGCAGATTTGTTTTCACATGAGAATCCAATCCAGTTCATAGGACACCACACATCATCGCCACTTATGTCATAGGAGCCATTTTTAGCTTAAAGAATATATCATGCTTCTTTCTCATCCATTTGGTGCTGTTACTTTTTTTTTTTTAGTAGATATTTGGTGTTACCTGCAGATCAAATCTCAGCTGTTATGACTCATATTGAACACTTACCCAAATACTTAGGTCTAGTAGTTTTAGTCTTGCCCAGTTTTTGAGACATTTGTCAGTTTTTCTGCTTGAAGTTCTCACAGGACTGAAAAATGAATTCAACCTCAACCCTGGATAATCCACCGACATCACTGTTAATAGTTTTCTTTGCTAGAAAGTAGTTGAGAAAAAAATGTGTTCACTTGTAATGTTACCCACGCTGTGTCCAAAATCCCTCCCATGGTCAGTCATTCACTACTCCCTTTAAGTAAGAATTTATTAATCCCAAGGGAAATTGTTGTGCAGCAGCTGCAGTACAAAGTAAGAGAGAGGGCAAATATAAAAGATAAAGTATATAAGTATAAGTATAAATAGTTAATTCAGTAGTACGCAGTAAATTGAGATTTTGGAGCCCAAGCACAACTGCAATTTTTGCATCTATATGATACAATAAATGCATTGTGGGATTAAAAGCAGAAAGTACTTTATATGTTCCATTGTGGGAATTTTTAAAGGGATCACATTCAGGATTCAGACACTCAAATAAAAAAGGTTAAGGGAAATACAAATATAAATAAAATGCATTATAAAGTTAATTGGGATGATTTCGGACACAGCCCAGTTTTTCCAAATGAAATTCCATTCACCTCCATTGTGCTGGAGTGGAGTTAGAAATGCGTGTGTGGGTTTTGGAGCCCAGCCCTTTAATATGGCAGCTAAATTGCACTATTCCTAGTGTCAAAGACCCCGAACAATAGATGTACATTAGCCCACAAACCCCCAGTGTGGGAGGATTTTGTCTTCAAGAAGATAAAAGTCTCAGTCAATGATCAAACTGGGATCACTATAAATTACAATCACTCAAAACAACTAACCCTGTTTCTTCCCTTGTTGTTCCAACTTACCAAAAATTTGATAAAAGTTTAAATATTATATTCCTCCTTTTGCTTGAGATCCCCTACAACTCACTCAAGGACCCATGTTGACCCACGGACACCAATCTGAAAACCACTGCACTATTAAACCTTACGTATACTGTACAGAGCAAATGTATTTCACAGTCCACCAAAACCCACAAGATTTCAGTTGAACTTTGACTGCTTTCCTGGAATAAACAACAGCTTTCACAGTTCATACAATACTATGCCAAACTCCAGTTATATAGTACAACTCTAATCAGCTCAAAATGTCCCTACAGGCCCTGTGAAGCTCAGCTGGCGAGGAACAGCTCTGTTGGAGCAAATGTAGGAGCATTTGTGCTCACTGTATATTCTATATATCATATTTGATATATTTATATATAAATTGTCTTTGGATGACTCCTTCACACTTAGCGGTGGGCACAGCTGCAGAGGACTTGGAGGATTAGTTTTGGATCATATTTCTACCCATCAGCTGAGGAACGGTGTCCAAATAGCTGCTTTAATCCCCCGGCTCGGTCCAGCGGGAGGATCCTCTGCACTCAAACAGCCAATCAGCATCCCCCTCCAACAAATGAGCTCTTTGATCGACTTACAGCTGACAGCGGCCTCACCTCTGTGAGTCCAGCATTCACTCAGTACATGCCGACACTTCAGCGCTCTGTATATTTAGTGGATGGTCACTTCATTTCTTAAGTATGAGAAGACTGAGTGCTGAGAAGTGTTTCTGTCTGAGTCTTTCTAAAACTAAAACTCGGCGCTGAAACAGAGAGACTGATCAAACAGGTGAGACCGCAGAGGACAGTCACCTCCTGAGCCAATCGAGAGCAGATTTAGACTGAGACGAACTTATAGACCCACTACATCCGTCTGGCCCAGACAGAAGAGGGAAACTATAGCTGGATGAAGGGTGTGTATTTTGCTTCTGACAGCAAAAGCATCATCGCTATCTCAAAACCTCATATCTCTAAAATGTCGGCCTGGTTGTCAGGTCGACCAACATGGCTATGTGGGTGTATCAGTTTAAAGTACAACATAGTGACAAGAGGTTACAGGAGGTTTCTGTATGTGTATAGTGAAAATGTAGAAAAGAGATGGAGGTCCTTCTGAAGGAGACGCCAAAAAATGATGATGCTAAATCTGTAAATCTGTGAGCATGCATGTGTCTCGTGCAAATATTCACACATGTTAATGTACAATGGGGGCCAGAATCTCATGTACAAAAATAGACTATGCAGGAACAAAGACAAAATGTGTTTCAGGCTTTGGCGGTCAAAGAATCAGCATTTCTTTGCAACATGAAACTGCAGATCGTGGTAGGGTCTACTTCGCCTGCCTTTGTGAGCCTCTCCAGACTAGCAGCACATCATCCCCAGGGATTACATTCATGTTGGACAATTCAGCAGCAGGTCACATCCACTGCCAAACTTCAGTGCCAATGCAGCAAGTACGCTATTTGTAACCGGACTTAAAACTATTTAAAGATAATGCAAGTGTGTGCAGTTAAAATGGTCAGAAGCTAAAAGAAAGAGATAAAAACATAATGAGTAAAATCCCTTTATAGTTGTAATTTACAGCTTTCCTTAAGTTTTGGAAAGTATGTGCCGAAAACTTGAACTTCACATAAAGTGTCAGCTTTTCTAATTTCACAGAAGTATTTATATGCATTCATCGTTCCCTCCAGACCTCTCAAGTTTTACAAATGATAATCTATGCTCTTAAAAGCTACTTGTAAAAGTATATGTGAAAATATAAGTTACATTTTGATCAACCAGTGAAATCAATCTGGTCTCAGGAAACTGGAGCCCGACTGTTAACCACCCCTAACATAAACTACACATGTTTGACATGCAGCAGAACATGTTTACGTCTGTTCCAAGCGTGCCCTCCTGAAGTTACAGCCCGCAGTGTTGGAGGACAGACAATGATCTGTGTTTTCTCCCAGTTGTCCACCGCCAGAGGCTTTTTTTCTCCTGATGCACAGAAACGCAACAAAAACAAAATCTGCAACCCGCAGGTTTTGCTTTAAAAGGAGCAACAAATAGTCAGAAATTTGTAGTTTAGTACTGAGAAGTGATTTCAAGGCCCTCTGTGGTTGTCTTACCTCAGAGAGGAAGAGAAGCTCCTTCGATCAAGAAGATGAACGTCTGTAAGAATCTGCCGGGTCCGCTCAGAGAATAAGTCCTTGTGTTATAGTGATACTTGAGCTCATCAGGCCCTTATTGGCTGTGGGATGAGAGTGAGGTGTGTGTGTAGTATGTATGTTTATGTGTGGAAAAGGTGGGGAGAGGAGGATGTGTGTGTGGGGGGGCAGTCATGACCCTGGAGAAGGAGATGGATGAAATACTGTGGATGGAAGAGGAGGGCTCAGGTTTTGGAAAGGAGCAGCTGAGAAGCTTCTGTTGCTAAATTTACAGTGATAGAAGGCTGAGAGGGGGGGTTACACATCAGCCTGGCATCCAGACAATGGAGGGAAAGGTGTGTGTGTGTGTGTGTGTGTGTGTGTGTGTGTGTGTGTGTGTGTGTGTGTGTGTGTGTGTGTGTGTGTGTGTGTGTGAGTGTGTGTGTCAGCCACTTCATCAACCAGTCAGTCAATCAGTCAGAGAGTCAGTACAGAGTAACAGAGTGACAGAATAATAATAGAACTGGACTAAAAACAGAATGATCACTACAAAGCAGTCTGTTTTAATGTGAAATAGACAATAACAAATTTAACATATACCGGTTTTTCAGAGAAACCCGTGCTAGCTTGTAGATTGTGGCTTCAATGACAACAAGCCCGATTATATATTGAAAAAAACCTTCAAACCTGGCCTGTCTGCGAGTGGTGTGGACCTTCAGGTTTCCTGGAGTTCATCCTACCTGATGGGTCTCAAATTTAGCAGTACCAGTTGGGTTAGATCAAGAATGTTCATAATTTGAGACTGTGGGCCTCCCCTCAGACAAAGCTTGGAAAAAGCCCCCACCCCACCCCTTTAGTTTACTGGCTTAGTTTCGCTCAATTCCTGGATGCCTATGGGATCATGATTATGTTATTTGATCCCATTGATGCTCAACAATTGAGCCAAGATAGCTTAATACTGCTGTTTGACATAACTTTAGACTAAACCGAATATATAAAAAAGCTATTTATTAGTTTCTGACTGTGGGAAAGTGGGGAAATCAAGGGTGACCCTATTGTGAGGCAACCCATTGGTGTGTTAAGAACCGTTTTGAAGCCTTGAGTTTGCCGTTATGATCCTCATCGCTGTGACAGTTTGTCGGAGCCAGCAGAGGTGACGTACTGCGAGCTGAGCAGCTCTCATTGGCTGCGCAGTTTCCACTCATCTGTAGCAGGAAACAAAGGCAGCTTGCCTGGTCACACACAATCTCATATTACAGCTAAACAGTACACTAAAATATGTTTGTGAAATGATTTTAGGAGAGAAATAGTCAACGCATCAGAATTTTGCTCTAAATGAAATGAACATCATGCTGTATGGAAGAAGACTAGAAACTAGAGACCAACTCGTTAGGAATCTGCGGTCATTTCAACATAAGACTGCATGGTATCGGCATGTTATTGCAGCCAATGGAGCTGCCCCCTGCTGGTGCTGGATTGTGTGCTGAGCGAACCCACGGTAGTTGTAGTAGAGAGACTTGCTACAGTCACTATGTTGAAAATAGCAGGGTATAGTAGGGAAAATAGCATCTTGTATCAACACTAAGACGACATTGTATTGAACTGTGTCTGTTTGATCAGTTAATGAGAAACACGGGATTGTGCTTTAATGAGGTTAATCATTCTTGGTGGCAGGCAGGCAACTGCAGTCATCAAACTGAAGTCATGGCAGTTAACTATTGCATTAAAAATAGGAATACTGAATATAAAATGTGGTTTATCAAACTTATATTTACATTTTTATTGAACTTATATAATTATTTTAGGAATAATGCATGATATATATCAAGTATAAAAGTTAAACCACATTTGAGGAACACTGTACTAGGTGACAGCCCAGTCATATTTGCAAAACTTGGCAGGAATACTGGAACTTTTGTGACACTGGAAGACATCTTTATGGTACACTCAAACATGTAGGTACTGGTGGATTACAGAGCAGGAGCCCAAAGGAGAATAGGCCACACTGGATTAAACCACACTCCATATCATAGGCAAGCACCCTAGTGGGCTATGCACTTATTGGAATAAACCATAAACCGTCAAACATGTATTGATAGACTGCAGCAAATATGATCAAGAAAGGAGGGAATTGTATTATAGAATTATTATATTGTATTGTATTACATTTTTATAACTGTATTGAATAGTATTGTATTATATTGTAAGTACAGAGAGGGACTGATAAAGACCCAACAGACTTGTTAAGAGGGCTAGATCTGTCCTGGACTGCCCTCTTGACTCGATAGAGGAGGTGGGTGAGAAGAGGGTGTTAGCCAAGCTGACGTCAATCATGCACAGCCCCTCTCACCCCCTGCATGAGACTGTGGGGTCCCTGATCAGCTCCTTCAACAACAGACTGCTGCACCCACAGTGCCAGTAGGAGCGCAACCGCAGGTCCTTTATCCCAACAGCTGTAAGACACTTTAACTCAGCGACAGAAGAATGTGGCACTGTTTGTCTCTGTAACATCTGCCGACACTTATCACAGTCATTTAATACCGGTACTGTACAGTTTTACACAATGCACTATTACAATTACAATTACACCATGCCACTACCACCTGCTGTGCCCTGTGCAATGTTCCTTATCAATCACATCTGTATATTAAAAAGCTGTATATGATGTCAAAAAACTCTTATTCTACTTTTTTTCTATTTTCATTATATCTATATCTTTCTCTTGTGTTTGCATTTGTCTTTTCTTAACTGTTGTGTTGTATCTGGAGCTGCTGTAGTGAGTGAATTTCCTAAGTATGGGAATAATAAAGTCTGTCTTATCTTTTTATACAATATTGCATTGGAGAATCTACTTGAAAAGAAATCATGGAAAGTATATAATTTTTTTATTAATTATTTAACAATAAGAGGAATAATAGAGAGACTTTAGTTACTTAGTTATTTTCTTTATTTTTATTTTTTCTTCAACTACTAATCCACTGCTCCACACCCGGTAAGTGGTGGTAATGCCCATTTAAAGCTGTTTTTCCAACTGCTGAAGACAGCAAGAAGACAGTCCAGTCTACTGAAAACTAGTGAACAACACAACTCAACAAGACAACTCTGGTAACATGTAAACCAACACAAACATTTCTGGAAAGAAATTGGTTATCAACAAGAGTCAGCACAAAGCTAAGACACAATGGGAACTGCAGTGTTGTTGACTGCACAGACCAGCACAAAGTCAGTGCACCAGCAGAGTCAGGTCAGGTTACAATGGCCATGCTGTCCATCTGAATGAATATGATTGGCTGTCACCAGGTAGCTGGTAGCCATGTAGTAGTAGCAGTGATGAATAAGTCATTGATGGTGGAACATGAATGGAGCAGCTAGTGATGCAAGCCAGACTTCAGTGCCACTAAGACCAAACCAGAGCTAAAAGAAGAGTGAATATTGCACACACGACCCCTAATGAATGCTAATGTTGCTAATAGTTTGCTAATATGCTATATCCTGTAACAACTTTGGAAGCTGGTGGCAGGGTGGTGGTTGTTTCTCCAACTCATGTTAGAGGCTAAAAGATACTGAACCATTTCTTTGATTAACATTCAAACAAATTATTATTATATTTCATTGCAAATAAACTGTTAATTAAGCGAGAACCTATTTTAGTTAGTAGTACTAGGGAAGGTTTAAAAGCTGAATGCCACGGCTGCACAATTAATTGAATATTACTTGCAATTGTGATTTTGGCATCCAACAATTAAATGAATGTGATCATCTATGATATTTACATTTAAAATAAATGCTTGGTACAAAGAAATCAAGCGCTTCCTAAACTAGCAGCCAGCCACCAGTGGTGGTCAAGATATTATGGTTTCACTTTTGGGGAGCTGTCCTGTCGCTGCACACACACCCTGCAGCTGCAGCCTCGATTTTATTCATGGAAAAAATGCTGTATTTAGATACTGCTAACAAAAAGCAAACGTCGCCTACTGCTGCAGCTTCATATTAAAAGTGTTTAACTGGCAAAACACGAGTTGACTTTGATCTCTAATTGTGAAATAGTTTTGATCTCAATATTGATCAAAATAATCGGGATTATCATTTTGGCCATAACTTTCCGAGTTTGTTGCTAATTTATGGTCATTCTGTAGCTGAGACATCACCTTGTTCACAGACAACTAGCTACCCTGTCAACAGTTTAGGGCAGTGGTTCCCAACCTGGGGGTCACAAGCCTTCTTGATTTTAAGGGGTGCAAGAAGACTTAATAATTTAATTTAGTTTTATTCTCAGAAATGAATGAAATGCTGACATACAGGCCCATTGTATATTTTTATTTTCAAAGTTTAGATTATTTTTCAAGATTTTTTGAAGAACTGAACACATGCTATATTCACAGAGCCTTCGCTCTCTGCTGAACGGCCTCGTCCTGCATTTGAAAAGAACACTGTTAAAACAACTAAAGAGAACAAATGCCAAACATCAGATAGAAGAAAACACTGAATTCGTCGAAAAAATAAAATAAAATAAACATAATATGGACAGAGAATGGTATTAAAAGTTTGTGAAAATATCAGCAAAACTCTGATTCAATATTTACAGGAAATAATCTGCTCAGAATGAATCCAAATTGCTTGTTTTTACCAGTAATATAATAGTTATTGTGTTCACTATTTGGGTTAATAGAACAGTTTGTCAGTCGTTCTGTATATTGATATGAACTGAATTTAATATGAAATGTTCATAAAATATGTAAGCAGGGGTCAGCAGTTTACTCAGTGATTGAAAAGCGCTCCCTTTCACTGAGATTCACTGGTTAAGAGGAGGGGTGTTCAGGAGAGAGACCCCTCCCTAGACACGGTCAAAAAATAATCCAAGGTGCATAAATTCTTCCTTGTTCACTCACTGCTGCACAGTACTAGTGGTCGGAAGCTTTAGTGCAACAACACTGACAGTCACTGATCACCAAACAACATGCAGAGTTTTATTCAAATAAAAGTTACAAAATACACAAAACTATGCTACACAGTTACATATTATTTAAATACTCCTTTCTATTGCATCTAGAAGCTGAGACTTCAAAGCAGAAAGCATTTAGTACCAGGCCCACTTCCTGATTGTGCCTCACAGAGATAAATTCCACTAGAGGAAGTAAAGTTTTATGATGTAAAGTGACACTTGGTTTGCAGAACTGCACTGCATGGG